GGGTTGTTTTTGCATTTCTGCTGTGTGGCTTCATTTTCATGTGACTGTTTTAAATAGCCTGCTTGCATGGACCTGAAAGAACCTTCTGTCTTAGGACAGATGAAAACTTCAGGTTCCTGGTTAGTTGCTTACTTGAAGCTAACGTGGCTGCTTGTGCTGCTTCTCAGACAGGCTGGAGTTACAAAGGAAAACAGGAGCGGAGAATGACTTTATTGCCTATCTTTCTGTATTTTGGTAAATGTTAGAGCTTTTTCCTTCTCATAGATAAATTTCTTTTGGATAAACAGTAGTGATACCTTGTTTCTTCCATGGTTTAACTGGTACTGCAGGAGGGAGAGAAACTGGTAATGAATTTAATTTAGTGTTTCTTCTATGTGAACTGCTCTTTGTATTCGGTTTTCTGCTGTACTGAATTCTGTTAAATTGATGTCAGCTTGCTTGTCCTAACTTGTGCCAGACTGGCTTCCTGCTTGGGAGTGTGAATACAATAGTTGATTTGATAAACTGGACATTTTTCCGTTAGGACTGATTGCAATGTAGGAGTTATGATCATTACACTGAAATTACCTTTGAGTGATTCTCTTTCTTACTTAGAAACAACTCTTCTAATATTGATCTTATTTTGGTGTATTTTTGTGCGTGCAGAAATTGGGCTGCGTGTGGAAATCAGACTAATGAGCTGCTTACTCTTTAAAGAAGTTGTGCTTGCAGTTTCTATGTTGCAATAGTTGAGACACCACTGGCTTGGTTCATAAAGACATTTCTTAGTCAAGCATTTATCTTTTAATTAAAATTGTGTTTTCACGTTCTGTAGAGTAAGTTGTTTTGAAATAAATTACTCAACATATTTTCTTTAATTCAGCTGCCCATTCTTAATTTATTAATAGAGTGGAAAAGACCAATTTATATAAAAGCTTGATAGCTCCACTGACTTTGTATTTATTTCCTCTTGGTTTTGACTTTGGAAAAGGAAATGGTGTTTGAATTTGGGGTTGTAAAAATTGCTGAAGGAGTGTGAGTACAGCAGTAGCTGGCTGTTCTACCACGAGTAGTGTGTGTCTTCTCTCACAGGACTGCATTTTGTGCTATCAAGATTTACTTTTGTCTGATACCAGTCTGTGTGTTTAGTTTATTTCACGTTTTAAGCAATTTTAATTTGGCACACGAGAGTTGCATTGAGGTTGCTTCCATTTTGCTTCTGCACGCCTTTTACTTTTTCTCTCTTAAATATAGCTTTTTCAAAATGAGTATTTTCAACCATTTTTTATGTAGAGTCTTTAGATTTTGTTGAAAATAACATATGTATTATATATGCTATATTTATATATTATAAATGTAAGAAAATGTTTTCCTTTTTTCTTTTCCTTTTTTTGGTAAAGCTATCTCTATGATATGTACATATTCTTTATAGCTTCAGTGTTGGTGAAGTTTCCAGATAGATGATTAAATATCTTTCAAATCTATTTCATGAACTGCTGTGGGTGTGGGAGAAGCACATAGATCAAACCTCATGTGTTTAATCTGTTTTACATTGTTATATTCCTGTTGTAAAACATGACTTTGGAAAGATCCAGCAGTGTAGAGATCTTGTTCAAAAGCTCTCTTGATTGAAGATTTAAGTATGATTGTATTTGCGTTGTCAGACTTCTGCTTTGAGGAAGTACATGTTGAACCAATAGAACAAGGCATATAAAATAGTGCTAAGCTATAAAAAGCCATATGAAAAAAGGCATAATAGAATTCTGATCTTATAATGATTTACAGCTGAAAGAACAGAGCTTGGAACATGATAGTGTTTTTTCTACTCTGAGCTGTGTCAGTCCTCTATTACTTGTGGATGTGTAGACGTGTTGTTATGTATGGACCAGAAACTCCTGTTGGGAAACAGAGGTGAGATTGATGCAGCAGAAAAGTACTGGGATACAGGGAGACCACTCAAAGCTTCAGAGAGCTTTGAGTAGCTGCTCCATGTGATGCAAGTGCTACCAGAATGAAAGCACAAACTGAGCTTCCAGTGCAACAGGAGGAACAAGTCTTACTGGGTGGGCTCCTCGGATCACAATGCTAAAGCTGAGCAGATGGAAAGCATCTTTCCAACTGGAATTCGTCTGTCTATAGTCTAGTTTTTCCTGCCTTCTGAAATAATTATATATATATATATATATATATTTTTTTTTTCTGTTGAGATTTCCAGTGGACTGGATGAACTGGTATCCAGATCTTATGTGTTTTGGTTTTTTGTTGTTGTTGTTGTTGTTGTTGTTGTTGCAGTTTAACGTCGTTAAATAGAACACCCAGGTATCTGTGTGAATGGTTTTGTTGATTTCTTCTGATATGCGTTATTCCACGTGTTGAAAATAAATACTGAATGCAGTGGCAGTGCTTCTTTAGGTGTCTAGAACTTTTTGGTCTTCTTGATGATGAAACCAATCACCAATTTGAGTCATTTAAGACAAATACCTTCAGAAATGAAGATAATATGGTTGTGCCACAGTTAGGTTCAAATTTAGAAGCTTGAGCTCCATCCCTCTCTGATGTACTTGGAAGAGAACAAGCTGGTAGCAGTTTGGGTTGGAATTTCTTTCCCTTCTTTCTCCCTGGTGTAATCCAAGCTTATTCACTAAACTATGAAGGTAATACCAGCTATTACGAAGTCATCAATAATTGTTGTTAGCAGCAGCATTTAGAAATTTAGGGCAGTTTTTATCAACTTTTTGTAACTATGTTAACTGTTGTTATTCCTAATCTGTGATTGAGTTTCTGGTCCACAAGAATTATTTTGCATCCGTAATTGCTGTGGTGACTTCAGAGTCCTTTTACAGTGTGTTGTCAGTGGGTTTTGTGAACTAAACATATTGTCATATTCCTGGAGGTACAATTTTTACTTGTAATTTAACTTGTAATATTTTTAGTAGTTTCTTTTCTGCAAGATTAAGTGCTTCCTGTTCTTAAGTTTTTTGTTAGTGTTAAAGTACTTTCACTACATAGATGAGAAATGAGACTTTGCTATCTGTAAATCAAATATTTAATTTCATGAATGCTAGGCAGTTGATCTCAAGGAGAAAATATGGGCATCTGTGTGATAGTAGCATCAGTGCAAAGATGTGATCTGTTGTGTTTGCGTTGGATCAAAAATTGGACTCCTTATTTTGCTTTTGAATCTCCTAACCAAATTTTAGCACAAGAGTGCTAAGAGTCCTGAGCTTTTGCTATTAGTGTATGTTTTTTTCCTGTCATCCAAAAAAACTGGTGCTCAGCTGTAATAAATCCTGAACACTGAAGCCAGCACTACATTTTCATGATGTCAAACAAGCAGTAGCAGTGTTGTGGGTTGCTATAGAGAAAACTGTTAACACAAAGCTGAAAGCTCTTGCTCCTAATGTTTTCTACATAGAAAACTTGACCAACGTAACTACTGTAATTCCCCATTTATACTCCTTAGGCCATCTGTTGTAACGCTGTTTATTTGCAGAGGTCAGCAGCCTCCTGTAACACTTTCATAGGTTTGGGATTTATATCCCAAACACAGATTTGCTGCAAGTACCCTTTAAAACATGGTCATCAACCTCTAAGAAATACCACCAAGGCTCTGAGTTACTAATAGTTTATTTCATCAGTGGTTTGTAATGTCTTCCATTAACATACAACAGTCCTAGCAAGGAAGGAGCTAATTTTTTTTTTTAAAGATAAATTAAAAAATGAATGTTGGGATTGCAGCTGAGCCCTGCAGCTTAAAGGGCCAAAGTCAAAATTACAGTTTAATGTTCTCACCAGGACCAGTCCTGTGGGCAATTATGCAAAATGTGAAACAGCTGAAGGAAAGGATTGAAGTCAGTGTGCCTTGTGGATATTAGCTTTGTCAACAGCACTGGCAAGGCCATGGAAAATGCTTGAATTCTGGTTTTGACGTGCAGGGAGAGGTTACGATAAAATGTTTGAAGTCACATGTTGTAGCGTAAGAATGAAGAGTCTGTGCTACATTAACACATATGTGTTCTTAGAACTTGTGTATGTTTCACTGTTTTCTTTGTGTACACAACTCTATATTGTAGAATAAATTCACCTCTAAATTTAGGTCTGGCAGTCAAGGTGCTCTGAATTGTTTCTTACGTTTTCTTCTTCTTCTCCCTTCCCATTTTTTCCCCTTCCCCACAAAGATAAATGGTAGCAAAAATACTAAGTTTTCCTCCTGGTTTTCACTTCCAAATCTGATCCTCTTCAAATACTAGAAAAAGCTGGTGGAAGGCAGTGGAGGGGAAGAGCATTTGTTATTACGAGTGTAGTTTTGAAAGGCATTTAAATTCACTAGTGCTTTCACATCAGAGCAACCCAAAAAGGCTTTGTCAGTGAAACTCTGGCCTGAAATTCAGATTTTATAGAAGCGTGCTTCTACATGTCTGAAGTGCATTATCTGCATTTCTTTCTAATTCTTTTTTGTTATAACTATTGCAGTTACATTTTACTAAATGTATTTTGTGTATATTTTCTTAAAGTAAATCAGATTATTTAAGATTGGCTAGGTAGCTAAGTAGTGGGGGGAAGAAATTGTGAGAAAAATGATGAACAGCCTAGTTCCTTCAGTCTCAGTCATAGAATCTCCATGACTTTGTTTACCAAATGGTTTGTAATATCATCATGAATGAGCTGTCTTTTGCATGATGTCCTTCAGCATAAGTTTCTATGTGAGAGTGATGAAGGACAGCTGGACCTGTGGTGGATCTTTTCTCTCCAGTTCATGCTTTTAGTGCTTCTTGGGAGACTGACAGAAAAAGCCAGCTTCAGGAGGACGACAAGCAAAGTTGTTCTTCATTGAGATGGATTTCTGTGGTCTTAGCCAAGCACTGAGGTTGCTAAATTCTGGACAACTTGACTCTGGAAAAATGTGGAAAAATTCACAACAAAAATCATCTTTCTTTTTTTTTTTTTTTTTTTTTTAAAAAGGCTTAGGTATGTCATTGAATTCTCCTAAAGGTATACTGTGCATGTTTTGTGTCTTTCAGTGCATTTAATCCCAGTGAACCCTATCAAGGAAGATGGGTTGAATCCTAAGAGCCGAAAGAGAATAATGCCTGATTTGCTGACAGAACCTCCTGCAATAGATCCTGTTTACGAAGCTCGTGTTTACTGCAATATTCCTACTATTGCTGAACGCAGCATGGAAGGTAACCTCTGTGCTTGCAAATGGTGATTTAGTGGAAATAATGACTTTGCATTGTTGGTTCTTTATTGCTTGGAGCAAGGTACAGCAAATGTCAACTGGTTGCTGAATTCAGTTAAACTGCTCAAAATGCACTGTTCTTCTCTCCTTTGTATTTTCTCTTATTTCTTGACTTCTGGATGTGGTTCTGTTATCACTCAGTGCTCAACTGGAATTCCTTAATTAAAAGAGTGGGAGTCTTTAGAGATAATTAATATTTTATATTGTTTATTAAAAGTGAACTAGAAGACACGTGTACCTTGTAGCAGCTGCACAAGTTATTTTGAATCAACTCCCTCATGTATGTATGCCATTAACAAATGTGAAATCACAAGCTAATATATCAATAAACTCTGAATTAAGCATGCTGCGTATGATGGTTGGTAAAAGAAGGGTCTGGAAGAGCCGTTATGTAGGTGGTGTTACATTACTGTGTTGGCAGGGACCAGTGCTTGAGCAGTGTCATGTATGGCTATTGAACTTTGGATGTACTGTTTCCATCTCACTTCTTTCTTAACATTCACTCTTTACGTTTTCTTTTTTCATTATAGGTTATGCACCCCATTATTTTAAGCTAGTGTCAGTTCAAGTGTTGATTCGACATGGAGATAGATATCCATTATATGCCATTCCCAAAACAAAAAGACCTGATATTGACTGTACATTGCTGCCTAACAGGTAACATTTTTTTGCTTTTACTGTTGCTACATGCATGTTTTGCTTTGTAATTATTTTGTTCCTCTTCAGGAAAAAATTTATGCAGCTTAAAGTATGGTGTAGCTCCTGATGTTGTTGTATTATGATGATTGAAGGAGATGAGAGGAAAAAAAGCTGTATGAATGGTGTGCAGCATATCTTGTGAAACAGGAGCTATTAACTGCTGTGTGTTCAGACCAACATAAATTCTGTATGTTTCCATTTAAAAAAAAAAAAGAAAGAAAAGCAAAAGCTATTTAATTACTCAGTCACATTTCTTTAGGTACACTTCTAGATATGTTAAAAATGTAGGTGCAGTGTTTGAGAATCAATTCTTTTTCAGTTAACCACGTTTTCTTTGCGTGAGCACAAATCCGTCTCTGTCACTACTGCAGGAAAATTGATAATTGTGTTTTCTGAAAAGAGAAATGATACAATTTATCAGAGATTTCCCTTAAATTATTGATCTGTCTCAAACTTCTCGGGATGGTGGAGGAGTTTATACATATAATTATTAAAATACAAGCTAAAGAAAGTACGCTATTTGCTATTTGAAAATGACATGTACTGTAGTTACCACTCAGTGTCGAAAACTGATATTTGTCTGTCATTTAAATGTGGGTGATTTCAGTGACTTGGGAGTTGCATCTGCTTTGTGTACGTGTATGTTTTACAAAGGGAAAGGCCTTAATAGGCTTCTTGATCTACCAGTATACAAAGTGGTGCTGATATACCATAAATACCTTTTTTCCAGAATAGTCTGCAGTCTCCTTCTGTAAAGAGATAACATTCTTGCTTTTCTGGTTAGAATTATTCAGGAGGGGCTCTCTTTGTCATGCTGGAAATATAATGGCATGCTGAAAATGCATTTCTGAGTATCAAGTACACCAAATGTGAGTTTCTTTCTTATTTTGATAGGTTAATGAGCCAAATTCCTTAAAATTTTAGTAGCTTGCTGTGATGAGGAGTATTTATGATTTTTATTTTTATAAAGGTAAAGATTAAAAAAAAAAAAAAATTGCCCTTGTGATTAATATCCTGAAATTTGCAGGACTTGCAATGTTGTCTTCAGTTACAGCCTGTGTTCTAATGTAACCCTGGCACGAGTAATTGAAAAATAGCTGTATGTATCTTTGTCCAAACTGCAGTTATTACAGTGGATGACCCTACAAAAGTTTTAAAGCATGAGCAGTTTTAGCCCATCTGTGCACATATGTGAAAGTATTGTAATAAAGTCTTTTGAAGATCTGGGCTTGTTTTAAGGAAAAAAAAAAAAAAAAAAAAAAAAAAAAAAGTTAATAGGCTTTGTTTGTTCTTAATCATATACAATATTCCATATATATATATTTGCATATGGTGTTCTGTTAAGTAATGGCATTCCCTAGTGTTCTCTAACATCTCCCAAGAGAAGTTTCAATTATTTCAGAGATATCCAACCCTAACAGTGTTCTGCACCCACTGCAAGCTAACTAATTGTCTTATATTGGTACTCAAAGTAGACTGAAGACAAGACACCAAACTTGAGATATCTCTGCCATAGTGTGGGCATTTAATTTCTTCAACAAGATGAAAAAGGAACATTTTGCTGATAGCTGTGATAGCACTTTTAATGACCACCCTCGAAGAGGTGAGATTATATTCAGAATAATATACCAAGTAAAGGAGTGTGATATAGATCCCTGTTGGAGTCCTTCCAGATCTGATACTCTGAGCTTACTCAATATATCACGCTAGAACGTGAGAAATCTCTGTTGCAGAGGTGTTAAGTGCAAGTGACAATAGTGGATGAGTTGCTGTATTTCTCAGTGTTAGTTGCCACATGATACCTCAGTTTTGTATTTATTAGAGAAACTTTTGTGTCTACTTCTACAGTTTCAGGCAAAGAATACAATGTGAAGGCTGTGAAATCAGGATAACAATCCATAAAAAGCAAGTATGTAGTGCATCTTTTGACACTGCCAACAGAGTGACCAAGTCATGTAGTTAAGAGGGCATAAATTCAGGATGTGAGACCACTAGTGTAGATACCCCTGGCTGTTACCAATTTATGAAGCATTAGAACATCAGTTTACAAGTGATATATCCACCAGCGTTCATCACCACATGAATGCAGTACAACAACAATTGGTTTCTTGAGTACAAAGCTTATGGATCTTTTGGCTGATTTTGAAAGGGCAACAGATTAAAGGGGTTGGCTCTGTACCGTTGTGACCTGATATGTTACAGCTCACAGTTCTGGATACAGCTAGAATTGTTAATGTTTCTATCATTGTTTCAAATGGAATATTTATTATTTTAGCATCAGGAATCTATTTACTGTGTTTGGCTTTCAGGCTTATACTTCTTTATGATGTAAATTTGGTACTTGATTGCAAATGTACCTATTCAGAGAATATTACAAGGTATATAATTGCTACCTTTGAACTGAAGGCTTGTTTATGCTGTGTAATTAAGTTGAGATATCTGATTAAAAGTCTGGCTTGTTTAAGCTTTCTGGACATTAGTTTTAGATAAGTATGCTGCTCATACTCAATCTGTTCTTTATTTGACTTGGCATTCAGCTGATGGAATTCATTAATTAAGCAGATTATGCTACAGTCCCTTGGTTTCCTAATGGATATGCAGAGTAGCCTCGAAGTTGCACTTAGGTTTTAGGAATTATGGATTGTGACATCTAAGCGTGGAATGAATGTAAGCAAATGGATTAAATGCTTTGGAGATTTCTTCCATCCAAGGCTTAAATTAATATTATTATTTTCATTGTTCTAGATGCAAATTTCCACAAGGGAGCTGAATAATCCGTATACTTTTGTCCTCGAGAAAATTGAATGGTGCCAGTGAAAATCTGTTCATTGTAGTGTTTGCTTTTTGGGAGAATAAATTAACCACCCACTTCTCTTCCCTTTGTGCCTTATATGTCAAGTGTCAAAAAGCAACACGTATGCAATGCGTCATCTTTGAATTTTTATCTGAGAGGGACAAGAAACGCTTTTTAGAAAACTCTTCAATGACTTCAGAAGACTGTTATAAATTAATAGCACTCTTGGTTAATTGGCATAAGTTTCAAGGCGCTCTGAGAGCTGTTGGTGTTAATTATAAAAAGCTTTGCAACAAGTACCTGAATTTTAGGTTTGATATGAAGAATTTTAGGTTTGGCTGCCAGAAAAATGAGAAAGTGGGGTAGAGGCAAGTAGTATATTGTGAGCTAAAGGAGGGGTGTGGATTTTCCTTGTAGTGAGGTTACAGCATAAGCCAGACCACAATTAGGTGATGAAAGATCTGAGTCTCTTCTGACCTCAATGAAGACTCAGAGAGAAGTTGGGTCACTGTAGAGTTTAAGAATGTACAGACTACAAGACTTTAATGAATCAATACACTCCAGAAGTACTAATACTGTCTCAAGGATATCTTTTGTAAGACTACTGTAATCCATTGTTGTTTTAGTGGCTCTTCTGTTTTCTTGCATTCTAAAAGGGAAACGGTATAGGCCTTTCACCTAACACTTATTTTGGCGACTTGAGCTTCACAGAAAAATTGTGTTGGGAACGATAAGAAATTTGCCTTTAGTGTGATTTGGAGACAGTATCTGATGTGATAGGATTGCAAGAAGATGTTCATTTATCTGAAGGTTGGCACGTGCCTGGCATGGCTGCATTTGCTTAGCCAGTGACACACAGGTTTCTGGAGCTCCTTGTCAGAAGGTCCTCCTGGCTCCTGCAGATTCTCCGTTTGCTAACAGAAGTTACATTTTCACAGTTAAATGGGGTTGGGGGCTGGAAATCCATCTCAGTCATGTTAATTTCCATTTCCATGGGTTCTTTGCTGAGGCATATAGAGTGCATTGCTGTTAGAGGGCAGCACAGTGCATGACAGAGGTAAGGAAGAATGAAAAGTTCACCTCTCAGTTCTGCTAAGTGTCGGTACCTGCCGACTAATTGTTTTCCATTTGACAAACAATCAAGTTTTAACTTTTAAATAAACAGATGCTTATTAATTGGTCTCAATAATTAGGTTTTTTTTTTTTTTCCCAATTTCTCTTGTAATCATAATCCTTGGCCAACATATTTTGTCTCTCTGTAGCATCTCGTGGTGGTGAAGCTATGTTGTTTATGCTTCTCTTGAACTTGTCTGAGTCTGGAAATTATTAAAAATAAATAAACAGTAGCTGCAGATGGTCCTGTCAGTGTAGTGCCTTTCCACGTTTGTTTCTTAAATACGCTTCATTTTAATGAGATTAACTTTGTAATTTTCACAAATCAGTAGTCTCAAATTTGTACGTGATTCAATAGCATGTTCAGTTTCTTGAGTCAGGATAGATTGAATGCTGTGGTCATCACTCTTAAAAAAACAAACAAAAAAAAAATGTACTTCACTTTACAGTATGCATAGTAGAAATAAGGCTTCAATTGGTTTACTGCTCTAATAGCCTTGGTAGGAAAGAATGTTAAACTAATCACAGAAAATCTTTCACAAATAGATAATACAAATGAATGGCAATATTTTTCTTAGTAGTCCTGAGACAAATAGCCCTGAGAAACATGGACTGTTTCTTCTTACTTGGTGAATTAACTGTCCAGTCTGGCAGGGATGATGGAATATTAGACATTTGTCTTCATGCTGTGACTTATTTTAAAATAATACTTACTTACTAAGCAAAGGTACTGAGCTCAGAGAGCTAGTTTTCTCCTAAAAGAGGCTTCTGTGCACTCAGTCTGAACTCCACTTTATCTAGGAGTGGAAAACCTCAACATCTCTCATTGCAGTTCCTAAATAATGACACTGATGTCTCGAATGGGGACAGGTTGGCAAAAATGTCCTGTAACAAGGCTTCTCTGCTGCTGTACAAGAAATGAGGCTTTGCTGTGCAGTGTGTGGGAACCTAATGTTCAGCTGCATGAGTTGAGTTTTCATACCTCTGCATATATATAATACATGAAAGTAGATACATTACATCTATGTTTCTGAGAAAATATCGTTCCATAATGGCAGTCAACCCTAATCCCTTAGCAGCCTTTCTGAGGTGTCACATGCACGTGCTCACTGTGGTACTGTATTTCTGACTTTGCTGTGCTAATTCAGAACAGCCAACCGATTAATGTTTGCTTCTCAGCAAAAAAAAAGAAATTATTTCTGTTTTGGTATCTAAACCCTGAAAGGAAATTTCTTATTGAGAGATGCCAGCTCTGTTGCTGGCAGAAATAAACGTATGCTTCAAATAGCTGTGCAATATAATTTTCTTTCTATATACACTAGTAACAATGTAGCAGTAATGCTGGAATATGATGTCTCTTTAAAGGTTATTAAGACCTTTGTAAAATGTTTAAATATTGAACAAGCAATTTAGTCTATTTAATTTATCCTGGTATTCATTTGAAAATAACAAAAAGGTATTTTGAGTGTATTATTCAAGCAAAAAGAAGCATCACATTTTTGTTACAGGTAAAAAAAAAAAAAGTTTTGCAACAATAAAATATTAGGAGGCAATTTAATAGTTTTAAAAAATAGGCAAGAAATGTTCAAAATTAGAAAAAGGTATGGCTATTGCTAGTGATGTTAAATAATATTTTTCCCTTCTAGCAATTTGGAAATATTTATTATGTTAATACATTGCTAAATACAATACGTCACTGTCATTGTGTCCAGCAAATTACAGTAGACGTCTTTTTATTTCACTTTTATTTTCTGCTGGCTTCAGTGGAAATGCAATTTTAAGGATATTTTGGTCTTCTCAACTATACAAATGTGTAATTTTCTTTGCTTCCAGCTCCAGCAGTCCCAGCAGTCTTAGCTGTGTTGCCTAGTTACTCCATCTCCTGCGGCATCTGTAAATTGGCCAATTCTACAGGAGGATTCATATTCTAAATAAGAGAAATCTTGGGGTGGGGAAGGGAATTGTTTGTTAGCTAGTAGCTGGAGTAGTGCTATAAAGCAAACAAGCCTATAACACCCACCAACCAAAAACTCACTTTACTTAACAGCAAAATTTGTTTTTTCAGTTGTGTGGGGTTAAATGGGAGAACTACTGCTACATTCACAGTGGTGTTGTATGTGTGAGAATTACGTTCGGTACAGAGGTGTGTTATCCTGACATGTCTGTCCCTTTCGGGCAGAATGGCTTTTCTGTTGTCTGATCCCCTCCCCTTGAGATACATTTAACAAGTAGTAAGCTCGTATTCTGTGTTCAAAATATGTCTAGCAGTCATGTTTCATTGTGTGCTTCTTCAAGGAGATGCTTAATTTGTGCTTACTTGAAAATAAATCTGAAGTTAAGTAACTTGCATTTACATACATAGATGAAAAGATAAATGAATACACTGAAAAATGCACCTTATCAAGTGATTGTTGACTGCTGTGCTGGTACAGGTTTGGTTCCAATAGAATGCAGCAGAAGAAGCAGAACAGTTGTGCAGTTTCATTTTTATTAGATTTCTGATACATGTGTTTGCAGGACTTGCTAATTAAGTAAATAAGATTTAAGGAAAATTGTGGCTGACATTTTGTTCATGTTTAGAGCTTTTCAAATGCGAAGTGTAGAAAATGGGTAGTTCAGCCTGCTACATCTGTAATAAGCTTAGAAAGCTATTTGCTAATGACTTTCATTTAATTTTCTCAGTTTTTCCATTTAGTGCTACTGGGCTTTGAAAATAGCAAAATGTGCAAGAAGTTGTTTTGGAGCTCGCATCTGGAGCTGGATTAAGCTCTGTGGTGTCTAATGGTGCAACAGAAAATTTCAACTGATTTACAAAGGAAGAAAACCTTCTGTGTTTTTCTGCTTCTGCTCAAATGTTAATTGAGATATTAAAATTGTAATATACAGAGGTAGTTGTGCGTTTAAAATATAAGTTGACTGCTTTTTCATTTGAAGTTAAAAATGAAAAACTTTGAAAATTTTCTCTCATTTTGCTTGTTTAGCACTTTTCTGATTGGCCATTATACTGTGACTTACAGTAGTGTTTTCTTACCAATGAATGTGCAAACTTCTTGGGAATCCTCTTCTTTTTTTTCCTTCTTCTTTACCCTGAAGTTAAATTAAATACTTGTGCAGTTTTATAAAGTGATATGACAATGTGATTTCCAAGACCTGCTTTATAATGGATGAAGGGCTGTTTCATATGAGATCTCCTGTGCATACATGCTGTGAGCATAGCTCTGCAGTGTGTGCTTTTTCATTTAAGAGTGTTTCTCTTCTGCCTTTTCCTTGTAAGCACGAAAAATGTTTGTCCTGGTAAATTTTGATTCCAGGCACTTATTGATACATTAGCAGTTCTGTTGCTCCCTCTTGTGGTTTCTGTCTGTAATTAAGGAAGTTTTTCTAGATCCTGAGGATTTTCTATCAAAACCACGTATTATTCTAGCAAAATTTGAATGCTTACAATGAACATTAAACTCAGACTTCTGTAAGAGTTCTCAGATGAAATCTTTTTCAGTTTTATTTTTAAATGGCTTTATTGCGTGAGGAACATCCACAATATAGACTGCTTAGGCTGGAAGTCCCAATAGAACAAGAACCATCCAGGGCAGAAATGGGTTGCTGAACAGTTTCTGATTTAGTTCTGCACAAAAATAAAGAGGTGACTGTGAATCGTTGCTTGCGTGTGGATAATAACACAAACGTTTTATGGAGGTGAAAAATAAAATGATGCTTAAAAGTAGCCTTGAAGTGCAGTTTATGTAGTGCTGCCTGGGGACTTAAGCCATGGGTTTTCAAATTATTTATCACATTGATGTTCAAGAAGGGAAATAATACTTACGTAAAGTTCTGTTGTGGAAATTTGGTCCATTTTTTTTGTTGCTGTTTGTTTGTTTGAAAGGTTTAAATGTCTTTCAATTGCATTGTTTTGGTTTTTTTAGCATTTTTATTTTTTAAATTTTTTTTAGCACATCCATACAACAATGAACTGAGTCTAAACATTCATTGACGTGAATTCTGTTTCAACGAGTTAATCTCAACTCTTTTGCTTATGTATTTTTTTTTCCATTTGTATTCTTTCCTTGCATCATGGGGATATTTACAGTCAGTTGTTTTTACTTACACGTTAAAATCAGTAAGCTTAAATGTGGAGGAAAAAAATCCAGTCTTCTCAGGGGATGACTGAAACTCTGCAGCAGTCTGTTCCTCCAAATCTGTCGACTTGGGTTGGGCGAGCCAGCTTTTTGTCTTGAATCTCTGCATGAAAAAGGCAAAGTGGTCACATTGCTGCATTGTACTGCCAGAAATATTGTGGTTACGTGCCATGCTCCTCTGGGGCATTTGCAAAGGTACAGAGGTTTCTTGGCTCTTTGTGTTCCCGGGTTCCTCGGGTCATTGCTGAAGTGTCAAATTAGTGAAGACCACAGCTGTTCTAGAATTAGAGGTCTGCATCTTGTATGGTGTGAAGGAAGCATTTTTAAGGGGGCAAATATTTGTTTTTCTCCTAATGTTCTTTTAGCAAATATTGTATTTGTGGGACACAGCAGAAATCAGTTGTGCCGTGTGATAAGTCTGTGTGGAGCCTTGTTCTGTCTAAGCTGTGCTTAGCTCAGAGACAATTCTGACAACAGAGAAAAGGAGCTAGATGTAGGAGGGCTTGTATTATAATTTGCGGTGTGTTTTGATTTTAAAATATATCGCCACTAGTGTAGTGATATTCACATCTGCAGTCAGAACTCACATTTGTATAATGCAGTCTGATCATGTGGGCCATTTTAGTTATTGCTTTTGATACAAGTATACATTTAGCGAGGTTGAATTAAATGGACAATTTTGTATTGATATTTCTTCAGATTAATCTCTGTATAATCTCTTATTTTTTTTTTCCAATGTTTTCTCAGCTGTAGAGCCTGCATACATTAGGTATATTAAGTATTGTTTAAACATTTTTTTCCTTAACTAGGACACAGTGCAGTTTGCTTTAGTCTTACCCACGTAAGGTGTCTGGCAGCGTTGGCCTCTTTCTTCCTGCATAGTGGTACAATACCCAAAACAATGGGCTCTGCTTTCAGTGGAGTCATTGGGAACAGCTTCGTAGATACCATCAGCTACCTGTGCTATTTGATTTGCAGCCTGAAGAAATTTGAAGTTAAGTCCGAGACTGTAGACTGTATCTAACGTAGTGGCTAGCTGATCTCTTTTAGATGCTTAGTGCCTTTGATGGTGCTGTTAAAGTGCAGTAGGACTGCAGAAATTAGAGAGATTTGCTCTTTTTTGAAAGGATCTAATTAAAAAAAAAAAAAATTACAACAGTACAGTTGCATTAAAAAACAAAAATAAAGCAAGCAAACAAACAAAAAAACCCTTGGAAATTATTTTATGAAAGATACCATAATTTTATCACGCCAAGACATCGATCTCTAGCTTTCTGGTATTAAATAAGTAGCATTTCTTTTGCATGCCTGCAGAAATCTTGAGTAAGAGCAGATGTCAGTGGGAAGGGACGTCACCATGAAATTTTGAGCTGACAGAATATTTTCTGTATACTTTGGGAAACTTTCACATTTTGTTTTGTCTCTCTAGGAAACCTTCTCATCCTCAGCTGGAAGCTTTCATTAAACACATGTCCAAAGGCTCTGCAGCCCAAATGGATGGAACCCTAAGCAGCCTGCCTCGTTACCCTAGTCATTCTCTTTGTGAAATGGGAGAGCTTACACAGACTGGTAAGTTTCTGTGGCAGCTTTACATTTTCCTCTGCTCTCTTAACACAATCTGTTTGAAAGCATATGCTCTATTTTTCTTAATAAATGCTTTTCTTTGGGAAAATCATAATATTGGTCATAGGTTGATTTTGCTGGGATAGGAGTCAAGTACTGAACTCTCTGCCAAAAGTGGTATCTATCCAAGAAACTGAACATTTTTCTATAGCCTGCCTGCGTTCTGTTAAGGTCAGTCACCCTTGGCATCTCTTTCAACTTTATTATTAAGAAGTTAGAACAACTTTAATTCATGTTGTCCCAAACCACAAAATTGTTTTGTCACCCTTATGAAAAATGACGTGGTGGAAAATTACAGTCCTTCAGAGGAAGGTTTGGTAATTTTATTGGTTAGTTTGTGATTCAGAAAGATCCTGGAACTGAAAAACAATCAGTTAGTTGCCAGTTTTCACCTGTAAAAGAACTGCTGAGTCTACATCAAGAAGATTCAGATGTAACAAATTTGTTTATATTATCAAAGTAGAACATCTTTGAAGTATCTGATGCTTTTTTTCAGTTTTTCTTTTTTTTTTTCCCCCCCCTTTTTTTTTTTTTTTTTTTTTTTGCTTTCTAACAAAGTTTGAATAGCATTAAGGGAACTGGGCTAGTAGGCATGGATTCATCTTTTCTGCCTTGTTGATGTTTTCACCACAGGCAAAAGGTAAGGGGAGAGAAAGATGTTAGTAAGAAATATTTTTTTAGAGCTCTTGGAATTGTTTATATTTTTATTCAGAGTAACTAGCTGAACTGAATTTGAAGTCAAAGTCAGTGTATTAGTATGGTGCCAATTTCCTATATTTTTTTATTCCAAAAATGATCTGTTAAATCATCATGTTCCTGTGCCTCATCAGAAGATAAACTTTGTGTTAGGCAGCAGTGTCAAGTCTTGCCAAGTGATCTTGGGAAGATTCTTGCCAGATTACCAAGGACTTTTACTGATGCAGCAGATTGCATGTGAAACTGGATTCATCACTGCACACTTGATGACTGGGCTAATGTTTGTGACTCTTATTGCCTGTAGCAGGTTATAAAAATGTTCAAGTTAATCAAGGGTTTGTGCCTGTCTGTTGGCTGCTGAGGGAGGATAACAAAAGCAAGATAGATTCTGGAGCTGGTATGGGAGAAGGATGCCTTCTTCCTATCCAGCTAAATAAAGCCAAAGCACTAGTGTGAACGTTACCGAGCAATTTGAGTACTTCACCCTGCCCGTGGGGAGGGGGTTTGAAACTAGATCTTTAAAGTCATTTCCAATCTCAGTCAGTCTAGGATTCTACTTTCTGAAGGAAGATGAAGAAGCCTGATGTGGTTTCTTCACTTTCAGGCTGGTTTTGTGAGTTTACATGCTAATTTGCATTCTGTGTTTTCATTGTCCTCACTCCTGGTAGTTTTTCTGGCTAACATAAATGTGCAGAGATTACAGCATTCACAATTGGTTTGGGAACCTGACTCAGGTAATGTCTGGATCCACGTTGATAATAATCCTATTTTTATAGTAATGTTAGACCCATTCAGTCCCATATTTCTAGTTTCAAAAGCAATATTAAATGACTAATGTTTTAAACTAATTGTGCAAAACTAGCTTTTTCTGTCTGTGTCTCAGTTTAGCTCCTAAAATTTGAGAGGTACTGAAAGAACAGCAGGTATCTCATTTGTGTCGGGGTGGAGGCTGCTCACAAGCGATGTTCCTCAGGGGTTGGTCTTGAGACCAGTGCTCTTCAACATCTTCATCAATGATACAGATGATGGTATCAAATGCACCTCCAGTGAGTTTGTGGATGACACCGAGCTGATTGGTGTAGTCAATTTATTGGAAGGAAGGGAAGCTATCTAGAGGGACCTGGACAGGCTGGAGAAGTGGGCCCATGTGAGCCACATGAGGTTCAGTAAGCCAGCTGCAGGGTGCTCACTTGGATCAGGGCAATCCCCGGTATTTATACAAACTGGGGAAAGAGCTCCTTGAGAGCAGCCCTGCAGAGATGGACTTGGGGGTCCTGATGGGCGAGAAGCTGGGCATGAGCCAGCAGTGTGCGCTTGCAGCCTGGAAGGGCAACTGGGTTCTGGGCTGCATAAAAAAAAAAAAAAAGGGATGATCAGCAGTGACAGGGAGGTGATTGTCCCGCTGTACTTGGCTCTTGTGAGGCCCCATCTGCAGTACTGTGTCCAGGCCTGGGGCCCCCAGTACACAGACATGGAGCTCTTGGAGCAGGACCAGAGGAGGGCCACTGAGATGATCAGGGGGCTGGAGCACCTCTCCTGTGAGTAAAGGTTGAGGGAACTGGGATTGTTTAGCTTGGAAAAGAGAAGGCTCTGGGGAGACCTTGTTGTGGCCTTCCAGTACTTGGAGGGAGTCTATAAGCAGGAGAGGAACAGCTGTTTACAAGGGTGGATAGTGATAGGACAAGGGGGAATGGTTTTAAACTAAGACGGGAGGCTTAGATTAGATATTAAGAGGAAGTTTTTCACACAGAGGGTGGTGATGCACTGGAACAGGCTGCCCAAGGAGGCGGTAGATGCCCCATCCCTGGAGGCATTTAAGGCCAGCCTGGTCTGGTGGTTGGCAATCCTGCACAAAGCAGGGGGGTTGAAACTGGATGATCATTGTGGTCCTTTTTTAGCCCAGGCCATTCTGTGATTCTGGTCTTCAAGAATAGTTGAGGCTCAATTTTGCCATTCATAGTTTTTAACTGAGCTTTTAACAGTAATGCTAGCTGTATTTCTTTTTTTTTTTTTTTTCATCAAAACTAAGGAGATTATAATCATGTGTTGTGCCTTCTTAAAAAATTAAACAGCAAAAAATCTCTTTCAGGTGTCGTACAGCACTTGCGAAATGGACAACTATTGCGAGAAATTTATATAAACAAACATAAACTGCTTCTGAATGACTGGACGGCAAAACAGCTCTACTTGGAGACAACAGGAAAAAGCCGAACCCTGCAGAGTGCACTGGCGCTGCTTTACACCTTTTTACCAGATTTTGACTGGAAAAAAATTAACATGAGGCATCAGTGGAGCACTATTTTTTGTTCTGGAAGCTGCGACTGTCCTATGCGGAACCACTACCTAGAAGAGGAACAGCGCAGGCAGTACAGCTTACGGGTGAAGAATGGTGATTTGGAGAAAATATATGTGGATATGGCAAAGATTGTTGGCATTCCTACCAGGCAGTTGAGAGCCTCTAACCCAATAGATTCTCTCTTGTGCTATTTTTGCCACAATGTCAGTTTCCCCTGTACCAAAACTGGCTGCATTGGTATGGAACACTTCAAAGTAATCAAAAGACATCAGTTGGAGGATGAGAGAGAAAGACAGGAAAAGAAACTCTATTTCCTGTATGCCCTGTTGGCTACTCACCCTCTCCTCAACCAGACTGTTAATCGGCTTCAGCGAATTGCAGAAGGCAAGAAAGAAGAAATATTTGTTCTTCACTCTGCGCATGATGTCACGTTGTCACCTGTTCTTAGTGCCTTGGGCATTACAGAGGCCAGATTTCCACGATTTGCTGCCAGATTAGTTTTTGAGCTGTGGCAGGATGGGAAGAGACCCAAAGAACACTTTATCCGCATCCTGTATAATGGTGCTGATGTCACATTCCAGACCTCATTCTGCAAGGATTATTATAAACGTTCCAGCAAGCCAATGTGCCCGCTAGAAAAATTTGTTAGCTTTGTGAAGAGGGATATGTTCTTAGTTTTTAACAGCACTAGTTATTATGATGCATGTCGTAGAAGACCACTGTAGGGAAGGAAAGTGAAACTGTTAACTTCTGTGTAGGTGAAAGTCTGTATTCTGGTTGAGGCGCGTTTCAGTTCTGTTGTTTGTTGACAAATGATATCGCTTGGGACACTCTTCAGTTTCCTTTTCATTCAAGCTGTAGATGGTCTCCAGTAGAAGAACAGATACTGTGGAAGTGTTTTGTCTGTGTTAACTATCATGCATTGATAAACCATGTGAGCTACTGTAATGTTGGACTTTGCTTGATAGAGTGAGAGAGCACAGATTTCATTTCCCTGTATTCCAGAGCAATACTTGCACACCACAAGTTTAAAAACAAAGCATTCTTTTTTCACCATTATCTTGTAATCATATAAGCAGCTGTATCAGGATATTTATAAAAACTCAGACATCTGTTTGTAGGACATTCTGGGTGCTCCCTACTCAGAAAGCATTTTAATATTTAGGAACAGGACTTTAAAGTAAAGTGCTTGGTTATACCTGAGCATGTACAAATGAGTGTGTGCCTTTCTGACCTCACAGACCTACAGATACATACTTATACGTTGCCTGTGCCAGAGAAGGGTGTACTGGAAGATGTGTGCAAAACTCTGTTCTCTGACTGCACTTTTAGCACTTTGAACAATACAAACACAATCTACAAATACGTAATGGTCTTGTATTAAAATAGGTAACAAACACTAATATTACCACTAAATCTGAATGGGAAATTAGGATTATGAATCAGTTTTACAGTGAGGTGTGGGCTTTTTCCCATTGTGAACATGCTCAAGCTGCCGTGCTATAAACAAATCAGTGTTTTTGGAATTTGATATAGTGGCTGCTTGAGACAGCTTGGCTAAACACTAAGAATTTTGTAGCTGATTTTAGTATTTTTATGGGCTAGGATGCTCTTATTTTGTATGATCAGACTTGTGTACCTACTACACTGTGTAAATTTATGGCACAGTAGATCTTTCATACTTCAGTTTGTAAAGAGCTGTGAAAGGCTGACTTCCAGACATTTTTTCCCTTGATCAGGATGTACAGATTTAAGAATAAACTGTCTTTTATTGGTAACCCGAACAGTGTGTAGGTATGAGAACTTGTATTCAAACTGTTTTCATCTCTTTAGGAACAGTAAATTGAGAAATAGTTTTTAATAGAAGCGATAGACATTTTATAATTCTGGAGGGTGGGTTTTTTACACTTCTAGAAATAAAGTAGTCTGTGACTCGTGACTCAGTGGTGCTAGTTTATAAAAAAAAACAAAAAAACAAAAAAACCCCTCATAATTAAGCATAGGTCTCTAACTGTTGATATTTCACTCTCTGTTTTCAGTGCTGCATTTGAATGTATTTCTTTAAATAAAATTGTAGGGACTCTGTGAATTTGTGTGTTACATTTATTTTTACTTCCTTAGTCGTTAGCAGTAACAAGCCTAAGTGTATTTCGTTAAGCTGCTTGTTGCTTTAATAACTTCTGCATTGGCTCACTTTGTGTGTTCCTGTTCCAAATCTGAGAGAGAGCAAGTAAACACTTCATCAATATCACATTAGAGTGTGTAACTGCTGAAAAAGTTTTCTTTCAGCCGAAGGGATCCACTCTTAGTCATTAGTCATTAGTGTTTAGATTAGAGATTTAGATTAGAGATCAGAGATGTCACTCATTAGTCATATGTGTTTGTCTGCTGGAGGGCAGTCAGGAAGACAAAATGTGAAAGATGAACTCTCCTTTTATAAATTATGTGAACTAGACCATTTGTCTAAAGTAAGTGCTAAATAGTCTGAAGAGTTCTTCAGTAGTTTGCTCTGCAGAGTGATATCTGTTGGAGTTCTGATGATCTTTGATGACCATTTACAGGAATCATGCAGAAAACGTCACCTTGTGCCTATTATTGGTGTTTTATATCTGTCTGCTTTTTTATTAACGTGTGTGGGAAGAAAAAGGAAAGCAAGCTAATTAGTCTTCTGTATCTGCACAGTTTATGACTATATGCTCTTCTGAAAGATTTGATACAGCTGTAATGCTACTGGAAGATCTAAAAGAAAGAGCTGCAGGGCTGAGATCCTGTATGCAACTTCCTGAGTTAGTTGTGGAAACAAAATGGTGAGCCAACTGCATGATCAAACTCAATGACAAGGTTTTAAAATTTGACTTACCTTATGATTAAATTGGCACCTGGGAATGAATTTATATTTGAATTTGAGTCTTAGATCTACCTGGGCAATCTAGATCTGTTAAATACGCTCTTGCAATGGATTGATTGAATTAGACCTTTCAAATAGGAAACATTGATCTGAGCAATTGCAGGGTTTTGTCAAACAGAACAGAAATAAATGCTGCTGCTTTAAGGAATGCTGTTTGAGATCCTGGGGTTGCCTTTAAATTGGTGTAGGACTGGGACATTTTGTGCACTGAATGCAGTATTTAGAAACTAGTGTTTAAACACGTTGAGTACTTGTAGCTGGGTTGAAATGTGTCATGTTTTTCCTTATAAAATTCAGCTTACGTATGTCTCTGTGAGTGCTGATGTGCAGTCTCATTTTTTGCCCCCTACTTGTTTCAGTTCTGATAGGTATAACAGCCTTATTTTCAAATGCTCTTTGAACATTGGGAATGTTATATGGTTTTGTTTGAGCTGTCTGTTTTATGTTTGTATTTGGGAGTGCCCAAGAAGGCAGTTAAATACAAAACATTTGCATGTAAAATAGCACAGATAGAAGATTCTCTTTGAAAAATGCATTCTGAGAGCTAGGGAAAATAAAGAAATAGGTGACCTCTCATGGTGTTCTTCTGTTGCACAAAAATGATTTAGCGTGAATTAACTGAAGAAAAAAAAAGAAACACCTTTGCTTTGGAATTGCAGCACTGTGGAAAAGCAATGTTAACAAGTATGCTGCCAGTGACTTCCATCCTGCAGACGGAAAAGGAGACCACATTTTCCACAGTGTAAGTGAATTACTGTTAATTTATAGCAGGTGCTCAAAATCTTGTGAGGTGAAGTGGGGATAATGATAGCTGTGAAATCTATTTTGAAGGAGTTCACGTTGCTGAGCATAAGTGTATTCTCCAGGTCACTGCAGCTTTGCTGTCCTATGTATCAAATTTAGTCCTAGTCTTTTCAGCACAGCAAGTTTTGAAGTTAATAAAGCTGATAGTATGTGGAATTATAAAGCAGAATTGACAGTTTGCTGGCTTTGTCTCTGGGGGTTTGCTGGCCTTGTGGTTTGATTTCTTCCCCTTTTCCACATGAAAGGAGCCATGCTATGTATGTATACTATGTCAGTTTTTCAAGTAGCTGAGACATGAGAGGCTTTGAATTGCACAGTTGATATCAGTTCAGCTATTGCCTTGGAAGCACAACTGATCTTGACAGTATTTGGACTCTTCCTGTAGAGAAGTAAAATTTAAAACCATTAAAAAAAAAAAAAAAAAAGAAAAAAGAAAAAAAAAAAACCTTGCAAAGACCAGTTAAATTTTCTGTGATCTTCTTGAATGAAATGGTATTGTGGATTTAGGCTCAGTAATGAGTATTAGTGCTGAACACTAGAAATTTCTATGGCAATTTCTGTTAAGAGGAAACAACAGCAGCAGCAAGCAACAGCAGCTAACATCTTATAAACATGTGATGGGATGCAGCAAATCAGAACATACCTCAGGTAAATTAATTTTGCATTCTGTTCAGTTTCCAAGGTAGTAAACTGCTTAAGGACTTTACTGAGTGACAGAACTTTTCAATTCCTTCCATGTAGTTCAGTAAGCAAGCGTGCAAAAACCTCATTTCCCCCTCTAATTTCCCACCATCACAGCTAACATTATAAACTTTAGAGAATGAAAACAAATCAAAATGAAGTAGTCTCTGTTTCTCTGATAAGCTTGAAGACATCATACACCTGAAATGCAGTCTGTTCTGCATATGAACAATTAATTGCTGTGTGTGCTACTGTGATTTTTCTCCCTTGCAGCAGCCCCTTGCAAGGGGGTTTACCCAGAGCTCCACTCACAGCACAGGAACTGAGGACTGCTTATGCTGTTGTTCCGTCAAACTGAAAACAAAAATGGGGTAAGGCCTTTGTTTCCAAAATCCTGGACAGCCATATTCAAAAGTGACTTTGCTCTGCTTTTAAGCTATCCACTTGAATTGTCCTGACAAAAATCATTGTTAAGAGCACTTAAAATTTTACTAAAATGCAGAAAAAAAGGGTAAGAAAAGTAATTCAAAATGTAAAGCATTCCAGACTTCATTTGAAGACAGTTATTTTTGTAGAAGGAAAATTAATAATACATAAATGTCTCAGTCTGTAAGATGTCATTCAGAAGTTGGTCGCTGGGGAACTTGTGGGGAGAGGGGGATGGGGAGGGAGTTGAAGTGCTGAAGGTGTTGCTGTGGAAGGCCCTTCCAAAATGGGACAAACAAGATAAAAGAAGGAATAGTTGAAATAGAAAATATGACTTCCATCTCTTTTGCTTATTCTCTCATGAATCTGCCCTGCAGCAGGTAGAACAGGAGGCTGCTTTAAGTATACCAGAACCTTGCCTTGGTACAAGGCTATGTAGGTATTCCCTTCATTCAGTGTTAACATCTGCGTTGGCGAAGAAGCAGGGTCTTTCAATGAAAAGAGGAAGGGAAGGAATGCGGAAGAGAAGACAGCAGGTGTGATTCAAGTTGCAGATTCCAGTTGCGTGTTGTGCCAAGGTCTCTGAATGCAACCCCTTTCTCACTGTAGGTTATGTAATAAAGGGCTCATTTCCATGAACACAAAGGATCACAGAGCAGCAATGTGGATGGGGAACCCCATCTTGGAGAAGCAGTGCTCCAGTTACTCCCAAGGACTGACACAGGAGAAGGACCAGCCCAGTTGTCCAGGTGGGAAACTGTGAGTCAATGGGAGAGGCTCTGTGGGTCAGCTTGCTTCCCAAGGGGTGTTATTGCCTACGTGAGGTATGGGATTCATTATAGGGTGCAGGGGAGGAGTGCCTTTGGATTGTACAGAGCTTGTGGGATGCACCAAAAAGGAGGAATCAAGGGTATTCGAGGAAGAACAAACATAAGAAAATGATGTGTTAAGGGGATAAAAAGGGTCATCTGCTCAATAAGGTGTTGCTAAGCATTACGCTTATTTGGTTATTCTCTGTGCCACAGTCTGTCCTGTAAACATATCAAACTGCATTTCTAACCATTTTGATGGATGAATGGGGTTGTTCTGTATGCATAGGTGGAGTGGAGCCCCCTATGATCCAGAGTCACAGGGTCCTGCATGCCTCAGATGTCATCGGTTGGAGGGATGTATTCTGTGCGTGTATATGGCAGTGTGTGTTGTAAATCCAGGTTGGTGTAGCCACAGCCCAAGGATCCAGGAGCAGCCATGGGACAGGCCATGTCCAAGGCCAGTTAAGGAGGTGACAAGGTGCATGTGTGTGGGTGCACGTCTGCATGCACGAGTGGGAGGTCACTGAAACATTAATGGCTCCAGGCCAGCTGCCGGATAAACTCAGTGTTGTCTCACTTCTACAGGGCTGCTGGACTCGGCAACTCCAATCATTTCTGTTATCAGAGCGACCTGAGAAGGGAATCTGCAGATTCAGAAGCTGCGAAGGTTGGCACTAACAGTGACAAAATTATTTCTTCCTTCAGAAAGCCTGACTGCTTCAACAGTGATGAGCAACAGAGAGGAAGCCAAGCCTGGTTTCCGATGAGCTGATGCTGCTCTCCTAGTTTCTAACTTCAGCCTTCTTTTCGAACTGGCCATACACGTAATGCATGCCTTTCACAAGGCCAGTTATACGGGCTTTTGACAAATTCAGCGTCTCCTTCCTTTTCAAAAGCCGGACATTTCCCTCGCGCGCCGCCTTCCGTCCCGCGTGGCTTCGCGCGGCTTCACGCGGCACAGCGGAGCAGCGGCCGAGCGCCAGCAAAGCACGAGCAAAGCGCCGTGGCGCGCGGCGCGAGCAACCTGCTCTGATGCGGGCGCGCGCTCGTGCCGCCCTGCGGTGAGCAACGGTCGTAACGGTCGTAACGGTCACAACAGCAGGCGGCCGCTATCGGAGCGGTTGCGTCCCCGGGCGGCGGGGCGAATAAGTGGAGGAGGCGAACACAGAGGCAAAACGCAGCTCTTCTTCCTGCTCCTCTACGCCAGGGCTTCGAGCATTGAGGTATTGCCGCAGACATTCACAAGAGACGTGCAGTAAAGCAGCAAAAAAGCTAAGATTAGCAAGGTTTTAATTTTTAGATATAAAAGTGGTAGTAAAATGCGTATTGGGCTCGTTAAAAAGGTGCTGGTTTAAGTTGGGACGGGAATGAAGCTGAGAATTTGTGAGGGGTGCAGTAAGAAGCGCGATCCTGTCAGCGCTTCAGACCTGTGCGCGTCTGCTGGCTGTGAGCGGCGTC